TTTCTCTTGTCGTTCAGGCTTCTTGGGTTCTCTTTATGAAAATTTAGTAAAATTAGTAAGAGTTGACATTTTAGACAAACCTTTGCTCTGACATAACTCAGTAGCCGGTCTTGAACTATGCCTAACAAAAGAGAAAGAATAGAGCAAATACATGTGTAACTTCCCACTAGTGCAATGCAATTCCAACATCTTTGTAGCTTGGAGTCTGCCTGATGGTAGTCGTCTTTATTTTTGGGGGTCTTTTTAGATTGGTTGTATATTTAACATAGTGAGTTTTTAATGGCCTTCATGTGTTTTGTTTTAACTGGACTCTTCACACCTGGGTTGTTCTCCTTTCTGAATTCAAATGTTGGAATGAATTATTATTTTTTTGTTGTTATTGTTCCCCTGGAAATTTCACTATACTTTTCTGGAGTGCTCTGTGAATAATTATACCTTGAACTACGTTGTGCGGCTCAGAAAAAGGTCAGGAGTTGACTGGGGTTTTTTGTTGTTGGTTTTGGGGGAGGTAGGATTTTTTGGTCTTTTTTTGTTTGTTTTTCGGTCTGTCCTCTTCCCTTAGTCTACGCTACACTAGCTGAGGTCTTCAGTTACTGCTTTTTCCCCTTATCTTACTCATGCTGTCACTGTGGAGTGGAAGCGGTTGATATCACACCATTTCTGTGCTGTTTCTTCTAGTTTGTATACGGAATTTAAATACAACACAGTGCCTGTTGAGATAAATCAGTTAGGATACTCTGCTTTCCTAGCAGTACTCCTTCAGCAGGGCAAATAAATCCCTCTCTTGTTCCTATGTTTGTATAATATTGTCTTCTGAGTTTCATTCGTCCTATTCACTTTTGAAGATGTCTCAAATATGTATTCTCTCAAAAGTAATCTTTCAAATTTTTATTTTTTTAGGCTTCTAGCCTTTATGTGGAAGTGCTTCCACACACTGACCTTACTTTGGATGTCTGTTTCAAGTGCTCCATGTTGGTGGAACTGTAGTTTTGGCTGGATTTCAGTGACCTCTTGTTTTTTGTGACTTAGCTCCAAATGTACGGAACTATGACTGTGGTCTTCTGTATTTTCATCCTGGCACTTAGTAAAGGCTTTTAAATTCTAGCTTCAGCTTTTCTTAAGTGGAGTTGATTCTTTAGGTAGATGGACACTCCACCTCAATTTCTGCAATTTGTTATAAATTTAAAACTCTCTTTTATCATTCAGCAGACTTGACCTATGGCATATTACCTAGCTGCGTGTCTTAAAAGCTGTAGTATTTGCCACCCTTTTAGAGAAGTGCCTGCATTTAGTTTTTATTTCTTCCAGCAATTAACCCTTAAATGTAGCTGTAAGATTGTAATTTATTTCAGCATGAATACTTTTACAGATGAGTGATGTATCTTTATTTAAAAGAAGCGTGCACAAAGCCTGGTTCAGGAAGGGCCCTTTGTGTATTGGTAGTGCCCCTGTTTCCATCCAACTGTGATTTTGGTGTCTGTGCCCTGCCACAAAGCCATGAGCTCATTCTGCAGCAGTATTGAACATGCATTTTCTGCAGACTAGGTCTCACGGCTTTGTTTTGTCAGGTTTTTTCAAAGTCTCAACAGTTTACCCAGTGGTCAACCTAATAAATTTTGCAGGATTCCAGAAATTGTATTTCTATTGTTAAGCATCTTTAGCTGTTACCAGTTGTGAGGTGTGAGTTTTTCTAGTTCTCCATTCTAAACCTGTTTTTTTTTTCACTCAGTATATCATTCTTTTTTTGGTAGCTTTTCATTTAGAAATACTGTCTGTGACATTGTCTATATTAGTACCAAGGAGAAACACAAAAACTACATTTTTAGAAAGAAGCTACCTCATTTTGCAAAGTTTTTGAGGGGGGAAGAAAACCCAATTTTTTTAGGTAAAATAAATCAGATTTTGGGCATAAATTTGTTTGAGTCTTATTGAGATAGGACCTGTTATTTAAGAGAAAATACATGCAGATTTTACTTAGGTTTATGCACTGACAGTTAAGCACAAACTTTTCTTATTTTTGTGTCATACATAATAATACAGGTCATTAAAACTTTAAGAGCCTTTTTGGAAAAAATAAATATGTTTAGGCGAAAAGATATTTCGAGTCTTACCTTTGCTACATGTTGTTTGCATGTAGTGGCATGCAGCTCAAGTCTGTCTTTTTGGTAAGGATCTGTAAAAATAGGAATAGCAGAGGTTTCAGTCAGGCCTGAGATATAGTCTTGGCATAGTCTCATTTCTTCTTCGCTGCATCTATTCAGGTATATTTAAAACTTTATTAAAAAGCTTTATGTGCTTGTGTTGCTTTTATCCTTGTAGAGAAAGAAAATGTAAGGAATAAACCTGGGAAACTTTTAAGAATCATTGAACTGAATTAAATCTTTTCAGCAAAACCTGAGTTTTAATCTAACTTCAAATTATTCAGCCCTAGAGGGAAAAGTAAGATAGGTAAAAGAGAATATTGGATTAAATTAATCCTCAGTGTAACCGACTGATTTCCAGGGAGGTACAAGCCAATTGCATTGATAATACAATATTATTTTTTTGTAAGAAACCCTCTTTTCATTCTAGCTGAATGTTACCTTTACTGCAGTTCAAATGCTATTACATAATGGCATTTATCTGTAGGGCTAACATATGAAGGAATTAAAAGGTGGTTGCCTCTCTTCTAGGATTAATTTGGTTTACAGCTTTGCTATTTCGTTGTCGTCCTGCCCCAACCATCACCCCGCCACACCCCTGCTCCTTTAATGGACAAGAGGAATTGAATAATGTAAATGCGTAGCAGAATATTTGAGCTTTATTCCTCTGGACCTCTGTACTGTCTGGGGATTTGCTTTAAGGGCTGTCCTCAAATAGAAGATAACTGCACAAGTTGATGCTCCCTTTTAAAAATGCTGCTAATGACTGTTACAAAACCTAAAGAATAAATACAGACTTGAACTTTCACCATTTTCAGTCTCTTGTGAATGATCACCTGTTAATATAAGCTATGGATGCCTGAACCTGTGCTAAGTATTACTGCAGTGCATATATCCAATTTGAATGTTATTAGCAGCGTAGGATGTATATTGCATTGTAAGCCTTGTTTTATAATGTATGTTCTGATATTTTCCTTTTGCTTTGTCTTAATTTTAGCATAGTATCTTCTGTTACAAGCAGCAAGGAGGTTAACAGGAAAAAACCCAAAGAAATATAACTGCCAAAGTTTCCTTTCTGAGCAGCTTGGTTTACCTGAACCATTTAATATTCTGTTGCAGACATACTTCTTAATTCTAGAATTTCGTTACTTAATTGCAGTTATGTCTGTCTGTCTCTTACCAAACATTGTGTGTTTTCCATCTATAGATAAAGCATCAGACAAAGGTTTCTTGAAATGTGATGTGACAGAGTGGAAAATCTCAAACAGTACTGTTGCTGCTTTACTCGTAGCAATGATTATATAGACCGACATTCTCTTCTTACTGTTCATTGCAGGATGATAGTGCTAAAATTCAGTTTGAAAATTTAGAAGTAAGTCTGTTTAGTGAACTTAGTTGGTAGTTCTGAGATGAAGAAACTCATTTGGATATCTGATGTTTGTTTTTACACTGTTTCAGAACACACTGCTTTTGTGGAGGGCAGCAAGTGGATACAAGAAGAGCAGGTTCCCCACAGGAAAGAAACTAAAAGCTCTTGGAGCAACTTATTAAGGTAAACAGATTGCAGTGGATTTCTGGATGGGTAAGTATTGATGATCAAGATATTTTTACTTTCTCTATTTACCTTCATTTATAAAAGATTAAAAAAACCCCACACATGTGGAAAGCTGCTTCTAGCCTTTCAAAAAAGCTCAGTAATATGAATATCACACATTAATGTATATGCCAAGACGTACCCAAATTATCATGTAGTTATGTCTGTATTTTTCTTCTTGTGTATATCAAGATCAGTTTAGCTTACTGATTTTCAGTACAGATGTTTCTTAGATCTTGGATCATTTAGCACCAATGGTATACTAGTTTGGAATTACAGGTAGAGAAATTGTATATCCAGGTTGCCTTTTAAAATTTTTTTAATTCATGGTGGAATTCACAATTACAAACAACATAATCACTGAACTGAAAAATTAGTAAAACCAAAAAGAAAAACAAACCCAGGTCCAAGTAGCTATTGGGAAGGAGCTCGAAGAAGTATTGCTTGCTGTTAAAAAGAGAGAAAGTTGTTGAAAGCTGCAGCAGAACATGAGATAGTGTGTCAGGACCCAAAATGAGCTGCATCTGGTAGTGGTTCGATATCAGAGGTTGCTGTGCACCTTCCACTGCTCAATAATTTGGAAGTGCTCATCACATGCAGCATTTCCATATCTCTTTTGCTTACTTCTGTGTTCCAGTTGTATTGGGGCCTTCAGCAGCATGGGATTTGGGGAAAAAATCAGTCAAATTGCAAAATTGTTAATAAGTGGAATTGTTTTTGTTTGCTTGTTTTGCTAAGACATTTGGATATGCCCTCCAGTCTTATATTGTATAAATCTATTGATATTGAAACTCTTTAATATTTCCATTAGGAATGAAATTTAATAGGAATTCAAATTTGTGTCTGACTTTTGATCTTGCTTTATGGTCTAACAAAGGCAGGGTTACATGATCATTGTGTGCATATATGGGTGGGAAAGGAACTAGGAAATCAGGGTCACGTAACAGATGCCATAAAAAAATTCTGTTTCCTGTGTATGTATGTATTGTTAAACACAATGATGCGTAGCTGTTGTGTGGGAAATGTTGGTGATGGCAGTATTTTTTTACTGCTATAGGATTAGCAAGTAAATGAATGTTAAGACATTCAAAGAAGAGTGTAGAGAAACTCCATTTTTTTCTTTGTGATCTTAGGAGGAAAACAAAAGTTGGAGCTGTTAATTTTGTAGTTATTTTTAAGAAATCTTGTTGAAAAGTTATGTCTTACTCTGAAGTTGGATGTGTTTTTTTTCTCGCTTTATGCTTTTTTTAAGCAGCAAATCTGGAATGGACACGAGTCCTCTGGGAGGATTAGATTTGTCTGAACACACTTCTGGTCTACTAGGAGATCCCACCATGGCAGCAGGCCTTGCAAATGTAGGAAATACATTTGGAGGTCCACCAAGTTCTTTAGTTTCTAGATCTAATAAATTCCAAAACTCGCCTACAGAAGATGACGATGATGTAGTTTTTATCGAACCTGTAAAACCACCACAAAATTCTACATCCTTGATAGCAGATCAAAGGAGCACTGCATTTACATCATCGAAAAATGAAGAACTTCAAGGGAATGACTGCAAAATGCTTTCTTCTCCAAAAGACTTAAATTCTCAAAAGGGGAGTATAAGTGAAACTATTATTATTGATGATGAAGAAGACACAGAAACAAATCAAGGGCAGGAGAAGAATGCTTCCAGTTTTAATGAACGAAGACTTCCAGAGTGTAAAAATAGAGCCAACGATATGGAATTCTCAGCTTCCAGTTTTTCAAGAAGTAAGGTAAATTCAGGAATAGGTAATAGTGGTATAACCACAGAACCAGACTCTGAAATTCAGATTGCTAATGTTACTACCTTAGAAACAGGTGCTATGAGCTCAGTGAGTGGTCATTTAGAAAATGCTGAAGGGCGTGACATGAACTTAATGATTACACATGTAACATCACTGCAGAATGCCAGCTTGGGAGATGTATCTAACGGACTGCAGTCAAGTAATTTTGGTGTTAATATACAAACATACACCCCATCTTTGACTTCACAGACCAAGACTGGTGTAGGACCTTTCAATCCTGGTAGAATGAGTGTGGCTGGAGATGTATTTCAAAATGGAGAATCTGTGACTCATCATAATCCTGGTAAGTTGCAATTCTGAACATTTCCTTAAAAGCTGAAAATAAGTAATAGAATGTTTGATTAAAATATTTTTGGCAGTGATGCTGTTTAGTTATTTAGCTTAATTTGTATGGAAGATCTTGCTTCCCTTCATCCTCGTCGCAACCTTATCTGTGACTCCGGAATAAATTATGTTCAATGGCGGTATGTGTTCAGTAGGTAAACTATCCCAGTTTAGCAGTAACCGGTATTTTCAAATGTTTTGAGAAACAAGTATTTGTATCTGAAGCAAAGCTTTCTTTATGATTTAAGCTACTCCTTTCGTATACAGAAATAAAGGTTAGTGTATCTAGGTAACTTTCGTATCTTTTTGTGGAGTTCTGTGTAATGCATCAAAGTTATTGCAGTATTATTTTACTGATGTTTTCTTGCCATCAGAATATAATTTGACATGCAAAAAAATTAATTTGGAGGTCTGTAAGTTATAAGTAGCTAGCTGTCATAATTCGTTGCATGCTGAGCAATTCTTGATATTTACAGTGCTTAGCAAAACAGAGTCCAAGTTACTTGTGGACTCACGTATTCCTGCAGTATGTTGTACACACTTTATAATTGCTGTTTAGTTGCTCATGATAGTATGTATTTATATCATACAATATTAATTAGGTGGCTGGTTCTGTTCTGTGTCTCTGTAAATTGTAGTGAATTGTCTTCTGATTTAGCAAGTAAACAGGTATTGCTAAAAGCCAAATGGAGCAGCCATGAATGTTCTTCTGGAATTGCTCTTCTACAGAATTTAAGCTTTCACGTAAGCCATTCAAAACCTTCCAGGTTCCAACATATACTGGTACTCTGCTGCCATGTTAAAATAGAAGTGGGGGGCAAAAGCCAAATTGCCACTTCTGCTACAGGTTTTACTTCAGACTAGTTAGGGTAGTTTTAAAAGGAAAATTAAAAGCAGTTACAATCTGGGTGCAGTAGACCCTTGGTAATGCACCATTTTGTAATTTGCTCATGTGCTGATTATAACATATGAACTTTTTTTTTTAAACCTGTTTTTCAATGAATATTTAAATAGCACAGTTTTTACATTTGGTCATATGTTACCAAATGTATTTTTGTACAAGTATTAATACCATTCTTACTGTAGTATGGAAATAGCAGTATGAAGTTAAGCTTTAAGTTGGGTGTTAGATTGGGGTGTTTTTTGTTTTTTCAAAAATTGACTTCTGAAGTTGAAAACCGGAAAGTTTTTCTAGTCTGGGTGTCTTACTTAATAGTTTAGACATTAAGTTCCTAATCTTTTATAACTGACATTCCCCCTACTGTTAGTTGATCCTTTAGACATGGGGTGTGATTACTGTGTTATCACAGATGGTCAAGTAGTTGTGGATAAGAACTTTACTGTAAAGTAGTGCCTTTGTATTTCTTGGGGAAGGCACATCTCAAGAAAATCAGCAGGTGCTTTCCCTTAAACTGCTGAACTTTTATTTTTGGTGTGATTAACAGAGACACACCAGAATTTTGCTGTATGAAGATTGATAGGCTGGTGTACTGAAATAGATGGAGTCCAGTGACAGGAGTGGTGGTTGGGAGTCCTTTTAGGGATTTGATGGAAAAAAACCCACCTTACTCAGAAGGGAGGAAAAAGTAAAGTTTGCAAGTAGGTACGAGAGGTGTATTTCAAGGTATACAGATACAGGGGTTTTTTTATGGCTATGGTCTGTGCGTGAAAATAAGGAGCAGGAGCTTTAAAGAGAAGGAGGACAGGTTGCTGTAGGTGAAAGTGAAGGAGAAAAATGTGAAATGAGAGGAATTAGAAAAATGACAAAGAACATGAGAAGAAGAAACAAGAAGAAGAAAGAAGATGGCTATAGTGGAAATGACTTTTACACGAGAAAAAGCCTGAAACACGGTAGGTGCGGATCATTTAAAGGTTCTGTTCTTACAAGAGTGTGAAGGAAAGGCTTTCAAAATACAAATTTAAATTTTGTACTTTTTCCCTGAAAGTTGCCTCCCTTTGTTGAAAATCTTGTCAGTAGAGCATAACCCTGCCTCTTAGAAACTTTAATAATATGATGGGAAGCATTTGATCTTAATTATATTTAATATATTCTACACAATTTCAGTTGAAGATTTCTAAGGGTAGATTAACCTTTTATGGATCAATAGTGTTCCATCTGTTCTGATTTCCAGATTTCTAAAATAATTTCAATGGACGTGGAGACTCCTGCTTAGTTAATTTAAGCCTACCGATAACAAAAATGCTTTGATTTACATAATTTGAAGATCACGGATTGAAAAACACTGATTATAGTTCATAGCTGGGTGTAAGAAGTTGGATAGCAAACTTTTTTCAGATACCACAACTTTCTTTAGGGATTTGGTAGTTAGCATGTGTTAAATGTCCAAACTTTACGTAAGGACTTAATACATCTGTTTACAGAGCAATTTGGCAGATCTCTGAGCTAGTCCGTTACCTAAAGACATTCTGCTTACATCTTCGATGAGTCCTGTTATTCATATTTGCTTCCTGTATAGAGGATTTGAATCCTTGAAAATGTACACATGCATTTTTTCCTGTTACTTTGTTTTTTACTCCTAGTGACAAAGGAATTAGGACATGTGACACCTACATGTTGTTAGAAAAATGATAGGTCAAAATTGTTGATAGCGAAGTCTAGGGAAATATATTGTATGTATTTGTATCAGAAATGGTGCGGCCAGCAGGACTAGGGAAGTAATAGTCCCCCTGTACTGGGCACTGGTGAGGCCACACCTTGAATCCTGTGTTCAGTTTTGGGCCTTTCACTCCAAGAAAGACACTGAGGTGCTGGAGCATGCCCAAACAAGGGCAGTAAAGGTGGTGGAGGGTCTAGAGAACAAGTCTTCTGAAGAGCGGCTGAGGAAACTGCTATTGGAGGCTGAGGGGGGAGACATTAGTGAGGTGGAGGTTAGTTGGTCTCTGCTCTCAAGTAACAAGTGATAGGACGAGAGGAAATGGCTTCAGGTTGTGCTGATGGAGGTTTAGGTTGGTTATTAGGAAAAAATTCTTCACTGGAAGAGTTATTAAGCATTTGGACAGGCTGCCCAGGAGTGTGGTTGAGTCGCCATTCCTGGAGGTGTGTAAAAGATGTGTAGAAGCGGTGCTTAGGACCATCGTTTAGTGCTAGACCTGGCAGTGCTAGGTTAGTGGTTGGACTTGATGATCCTAAAGGTCTTTTCCAAGCTACATGGTTCTAGGATTCTGATTGTGGTTTGGAAAATTTCTTCTGCGTCAGACTGCCCCCACTCTATGGGAAGCAGTAGGGGCATAACAGAAACTTCCTTCCAACAGATTAATTCAAAACCTAATGTCCTTAGTAAGCACTGGAGTATGTTTCATAGAGTGGTTTGAGGTGGAAGGATCCTTTAAAGAGCACCTTGTCCAACTACCTTGCCCTAGGCAGGGACATCTTTCACTGGATCAGATTGCTCAAAGCCCTGTCCAGCCAGACTCTGAACACTTCAGGTGATGGGACATCCACAGCTTCTCTGGGCAGGCTGTTCAGCATTTTGCTACCTTCATCTTAAAAATGTATTCCTTGTGTCCAATCTTAAATCTCCTCTCTTTCACTTTAAAACCACCACCCTTGCCCTGTCACTGCAGGTCTTAGTAAAAGAATCTCACCATCTTTCTTTATAAGCCCGTGTTATACAGTGAAAGACTGTAATAAGGTCTCCCCAGAGCCTTCTGTTTTCCATGCTGAACAGCCATAATTCTCTTGGCCTATTTTTACAGGTGTGGTGGTCTAGCTTTCTGTAATTTTTTGTGGCCCTCCACTGGACCTGCTCTAACAGGCCCATGTCTGTCTTGGACTGGGGACCCCAGAGCTGAATGCAGTACTCCAGGTGGGGTCTCACCAGAGCAGAGGGGCAGAATCACCTCCCTTTACCTGCTGGCCATGCTTCTTTTACTGCAGCCCAGGATATGGTTCGCTTCCTGGGCTGCAGGAACACATTGCAGCTCATGTCCAGTTTTTCATCCACTGGTGTAGCCTCAAGTCCTTCTCTGCAGGGCTGCTCTCAGTCCCTTCATCCTCCACTTTGTGCTGATATTGAGAATGGTCCTGGCTCAGGTGAAAGGCCTTGGCACGTGGCCTTGGTGAGCTTCTTCAAGTTCATGGGGGTCCATTTCTCAGGCCTGTCAAGGTCCCTCTGGATGGCATCCCTTCCCTCTAGCTTATCAGCTGCACTACTCAGCTTCATGTCATCTGCAGACTTCCTGAGGGTGCACTTATTACCAAAAACATAGTAGGATTATTACATAGCCTCAGTCCCGGAGGGACTTTTGAGGGGCACAGCTCATTGCTGCTTTCTGTGTGGACATTGAGCTGTTAACTGTACAAAACCATCCAGCCAATTTCTTTACTCAACAAATCCATGTCTCCTGTTGAGCAGCAAGAATGTTGTGAGGGAGCGTATCAGAGGTCTTGGAGAAGTCCAGGTATATGAACCAAAGTCCATGTAGATGAGTTTCAAGTGCTTTTCTACTGGAGCTTAGGTTTTGTTTTTCTGAATGGAGTTTTGTTTTTGTGCCTCAAAACTGCTCCAAGAATGGAACCAACCTAATAAATTGAGGATGCAGTTTGTAATTGTTGTGATCTGAACCAGGTTATTAATGCAGACTTAGCTGAATATGTTTCAAGAACTGCATACTTCTGTGAAGCTCTGTTGCTGTCTTCCTCCCCACCTCTGCCCCAAGTTGCGCCGATTATTTTTTTAAGCTTTTTTAAAACAACAGTTTCATTGAGCCACTTTTGCAAGATGGCTCCACAAATAAATGTATTAGTGCACATGAGTCAGGCATAATTTTAGAAGAGTTTATAGCAGGAACAAGTGTCAAAGAATGGGAATGCTCTGAACAGCTGTTACAGTAAGAAGAAATTGAACATGAAACTGTGTACAGTCTCATAAACTTGGATGTAGAAGACTTGGAGGTAGGAACCTGAAGGATGAAGACATAAGGGCAGTGAGACATAGAAACTCATCAGGAATCAACTAAGGAAGTGTCCTACACATTCTCAGTTCAAGAACATGAAAAACAGATTTCAGAGGGCCTTTGTAGAGAATGTAAAATGGAGGAGGCAACAGGGTTAAAAAGTGAGATTTGAAGAAAAGTCACAATATAAAAAGTAATGTCTATGAAGGTACAATGTGGAAGAACTTACTAGTTAAAGGAGGTTGTCTGAAGCCTTAAGATACTAAGGAAATACTGAAATAGTTTTAGTGAGGTACTAAGAAGTCATGGTAAAAATTTCAAACCCAAGTGAGCCTAGCAAACTCAAGTTTTTGTAAGCAGTGGTTGAGCACTACTTGAGTTACCAATACATGTAACTTTACTGCACATGCTATGTATTCCTGCTAAGAGATGCAATCTGCTCTCATGTGAAACCTATAAGAAAAGGGAAATCTCAAAATAATCTGAGGTGTTAAGGTCCTAACAGGTAGGAGACCTGGTAGTATACAAGTGAATTTTAAGTGCTGCGGTAAGATATCTCAGTTTGTTGGTATGGATACTCATCCCGTCAAAGGTAAACTTCTAAGGACTTAGAGGAGTGTGTTTTGTTCTGCTTCTTTTCCCTCTTCCTCACTTCTTGTCTCACATTGGGGGCCAGTTAGCTCAGTGGGGGACCGATTAGCTCAGTGGTTTGAGCGTGGTGCTGGCAACAAGGACCAACACCGAGGTTGCGGGTTCGATTCCCGCTCGGTCCCCATGTGTTGCCTGGTCTAGTCGAGAAGTGGCGTCCCTGCCCATGACAGGGAGATTGGACTAGATGATCTCTAAGGTCCCTTCCAGCCTAGGCCATTCTATGATTCTATGTCTGAGGAATAGGACATCCTTGACAGCTACAAAGTCACTGGAAAGTGATCTTCTGCTTGCTCAGGAATGTGCGTTGTTTGTTGCTATAACAAGGGTTCTTGAAACTTCATCCCTAAATTTGATTTTAAAACTATGCAGCAGAATATGTTGTTAATAAAATCCCTCTTGGGGAAGGAGATGGCTTGAGAAAATAGTATGAGGAAAGGGTGCCTTCTGTTTAAGGGACCAAGATAACATCTCTTAAGACTAAGGTATAGGCAGTTGCTGAAGTCTATAGGTTAAGGTTTTTGTTATCTGAAGTTATAGAATTTAAAATTGTCTGGTTTTGGTTGTAATCACAATTTATAACAAGTTGTAATAACACTCCAGGAATACACTGAGTTACTGCAGTAAGACATTCAGGGCTTTAGTATTTTTATTTAGTTACAGTAAATGCTGTGTTTACTCTTTACTTACCAATACTAACTTACTTTACTACCCAATACAGAAATATTTACACAGGTGTTAATTATTCAGTAAGAGTCAAGTACTGTTCTAGATGGTGGGAATAAAAAGCTTGAAAGGTAAGTCCCAGTTGCTGTGATAGACTTTGGGATCACTGACACATACTATTGAAAATGTGTGTGAATGCTTTTTATAATGGAAAGAAGTTCCTAATCAGGTTTAAATTCGTGCTTAAGTAATGTTCTTGGCATTCTTCAGAAACTCAACGTTCCTAAATTCTAGTGACAAGTATTTAAAATGAAAGCTTAAACACCAGAGGAAAGCCTAGAAATTGTTTTATTGGAGATTTTCTTTCCCACCAGAACTGTGTATTCTGCTCCAAACCAAGATACTGAACATATAATTTAACAGAAGCATGTGATCTTTCTAGGTGTACTTCTGTTGGAGAAAATCTTTTGCTTAAGTATTGTTCTGCAAGTTACTCAGTGGTATGTTTCGCTGCAAAAAACTGGGCAGCGCTGGCTCGAATTCCATAGTAGTTTGTTGTCCAAAGATACAGATGGAAGACTAGTGGAGTCTGAAACACGGGGCTGTGGATTTGTGTACTCACAGAACTTAACGAAATATTACTTTCTAGCTTCATTGATTACTACTGGGGAAGACATGGAGCTCTTTTGACTTTGCCAGTTTGCACATGAAGTGGTATTCATTACACTGAAAAAGTTAAGAAAGCCAGGAGCTGTTACAGGAATTAGTGACCGATGCAGCGTCCAGATGTGGAGCCACTTCACTTTGCTCTTACTGCAGTAGAGTTCTCTGGCTGCAGGCTAGACTAGGAAACTAGTATGGGAAGCCCCAATTCTAGGTTTATCAGTGAGAGTGGGCTGGACATGTGATGCCTGTTAAAGCTTTATTAAAAATAACTAATGAAAATCTAAGATTTCATGTTCTTGTAAATATATATCTATATCTATCTGTATATCTGTAAGTTTGTATCTCAGATCTTAGCTTAGAAATTTCATGTTCTCTCTTGGTATCTTTTTTTTTTTTTAAATTGCAGTTGGTAATTGCAGTTTTGTTTGTCTAAAGATAAAATTGCCAGTTTGCAAACCCCATGCAAGCGAACTGAGGTCTGCAAAACCTGTCATTAAATGTGGGATGGGACCATCCCTCAAATTTGTTCATGTTCTGAAGCTTTGTAACAATGGAGAGTGGTGCCATCAAACAGCATTTACTTATAGCCTGAATTTGTAAAATATAATCTTTCTTTTGTTAATTGTCAGTTCCAACTGAAAAATGATTTTATGATCATATATCTGTGAATGTTATTTTCTATATATGTCCATAACTGTTCACTTCTATGTTTGTTTTTTGTCTTGAAGATTCATGGATATCCCAGTCAGCTTCCTTCCCTAGGAATCAAAAGCAACCAGGTGTAGATTCCTTGTCACCTGTAGCATCACTTCCTAAACAGATTTTCCAGCCTTCTGCCCAGCAGCAGCCTTCTAAACAGGTTAAAGTCACATGTGCAAACTGCAAAAAGCCTTTACAAAAGGGACAGACAGCATATCAGCGAAAAGGATCAGCTCACCTTTTTTGTTCTACTACCTGCCTCTCATCATTCTCACACAAACCTGCTCCAAAGAAACTTTGCGTTATGTGCAGAAAGTAAGGGATTTTTAAATTTTGTTTCTTATTAGCAGCTAAATCCAGTAACACTTAAGATTTTCATGCATGTATGAGAATTGCTCCATTAGTGGTATAAAATCTATGAAGACTATGTAACTGCTTTATATAGTGTCTCTTTAGTGTTGTTTCCAAATGTTGAATTCACTGTGTCTCCTACAACAAAATAGAAAGTCTACCAATTTTTTTAATTTAGGAATATGGCAGATGGTTCCTATAAAATTAATGTTTCTTTGAGTTTTTGTTCTTTTTATAAAAGACAAGATGTCCAGGTTATAATATATCTTGTGACAAGAAATGTTCTTTAAATATAATGACCTTTATGGAAAAAAGTGGACCTTCTGTTGTATAAAAAGTATTGATTTAGGTAGATAAATATATAAAATCAAGAGGCTTTGAAAGAAGGAGAAACTGATATTGGCAAGAAGCTGGAAGAAATTTGGGAGCTCTTCTACTGTTGGCAGTTTGGGGAGAGGAGAAGCCTTAAACTTGCCCAGTAGTGAGGGACAACTCTGTTGACTTCTGAAACTGAAGATACCTTCAGTGAACAGTACAGAGAAGTGACGAGCATACTTAGAAGTGGTTTATTCTAAATTATTGGTTAGGTTTGACTTAGAATTTTCCTTTATTTCCCAAACTTTAAAATTGCCAAAGAAAAGTCTTCCATAATTGTACCATGTGTAGTGTTAGGTGTACAAAATTATTTCTTTCAGTGTGCCAATTACTGAGATACTTGTGCTTTTTCATATTTTTTTTGATAAAGTCTCAATCCAGTACACGCTGCAGTGACACTGATTAACTGATGAACTCTTGCTGAACTAAAGAAAGCTTGCAGTAAAGACTGCCTTTGTTAATGTTTGTTTTGGAGAGAGTGATCTTTGCTAAATCCTAGATTTAAACTAGTGAGAAAGTTTTGCTTCAGTATGCAGTGTGGTGGATTAATGGCTTGTATTTACATGTGAGCTATTGATCTGGGTATGTCTCTTTTCTTGAGACTTGGTAAAAAAAATAAGCTATAGGAATTATTGATATATGCTGTGTATTCATACCTTGTTAGACTGAAAACCTACTGCATTCAGTGTATTTTAGCTTTTTTAAAATAGATGTGGAAACTCAAATTCCCTTATCCCTCTCCTCTACGGAGTTGGTTAAAAGCACCCTGTACTCTTTCAGTTGGCTTTTGCTTGTTTATACATTTCTTTTTAGAAGAAATCTGGTGAAACTATATTGAGCTAGCTGCATTATATATAAAAATGAAGCTTAGACTAAACTTTTTATTTCTGACTGAAGCCTTGAAAGTTTATGGCAAAATATGTGCTGTATTGCAACTTTGGAGATATTTATCTGTGTATTGTAAGAGGCTACGTATAAAACTGCCCTGAATGAAAAGGCTTTATTTTTGACTCATGAGGAAACTACTTTATTTCTAGCTTTTGTGTTACCTAAAATAGTTTTAGTGTGTTTGATTTCTAGAGAACCTCTGTGAAGCTGTCTTGAACCATTTTTAAGGTGATGTTGATCTTTGCTCTTCCACTAGTGTGTAGTTGCTTACTCAGAGTTAAATACAAGGCAGTATGTACATGAAATTGTTCTCTGTAGTATGGCTTCAGTGTGAAGCCCAATCTTAGCCAGCCTTTTTCTTAAATTTTTTTTGCTTTATTGCCGAATTTTTGCTACCTGGAGGTGGTACCAAACCAGGTACTCTTTGCTCCACACTTGCTCCTGTGTTCTTTTCTTACTGAAGCTGACAATATTGTCTGATTGTTCAGTGAAAGGATGAGGGAACTCTAGCAAACTCCAGGAGATCTTGAGTGTAGGTTAGATAGATGATAGTAGTTGAAAGTCAGACTTTCAGAAGTGATGCTCGGGTATCAGTGCCTGGCGTGTCTTTTCCAAGTGGTGATCCATTGTGATATTAATAGAAATCTGGATGTGCCCTGTCAATTTTTAAATTTATTCTGCCCAGTAGCATTTCCTCTGTCAGTAATATTTTTTTTTGCTTAGAAGACAGAGGGGCAGGTGTTTGTTTCTTCTCTTTATTGCTTCTAATTTACATTATGTGATAGTTTGGGATTAAGAGTAAAACTACCTTAGAAATTACTATAGAAATTGGGGAGACCTGATTACAAAGCTGCACTGGCAAGCATGATGTTAGTGACTTTTGCTCATATTTGCAGCACATAATTGAAGATCAAGGAAGTGTAGAATTAATTTTAGTGAAGAATGGTGTCAGTTTGATTAGAAGATCTATTCTATTTCAAATGAATTTTATTGACAGTTGCTTATCTGGTTTAGTGCATTAATTTACTGTAATTTCATAGGCAACTGTGTAGAGTGTTCAGGTGCTTTGGAACTTTAATGATGGAATTAACTTTTTAAAAATTTGAAATTATAAGACTTCTAGGGAAGTTAGTGGTAGAGTTTTAAGCATTTTGGTTGTATTTATAAGTATGGGAAAACCTCTCCTTATTCTATCCTGAGATTTAATCCTGGAAACGGTGGAGTTAAATATAATACCATTTCTCACTCTTTACTTGAAATCTGATTTTTTTCACGTGAAACTTAAGTACAGCTTTTTTTGTAAAGATGCAGAAGGGCTAGTTCAAATTTGCTGTGTTAAATTTTTGTATAAGATTGAGTTTGTCACATCTAGTTCCTAATGGCATGTTAATGTCACTTAGTTCTAGAATAATGTAATGAGGGCAAAATTGGAAAAAAACAAAAAAGCTTTTACACAGGAAAGATGCTGTACTTACTCTGCTTACAGTAGTTGTAAATATATTATTAAACTTGTTAGCTATATGACTAACAGCTGTCCTGGTTTGAAATGTAAGCGTTAAAGGAACAATGAATCTTACAAGCTGTGAAGTGTTCTTGTTTTTATGTATATATGTATGTATTTATACAGAAGCACACTAGAAGTGTGGTGGGTTTTTTATTTTTTATTTTTTGTCTTTCAGAGATATAACAACAATGAAAGGTACCATTGTTGCTCAAGTTGATTCAAGTGAGTCTTTCCAGGAATTCTGCAGTACATCATGTTTATCCTTCTATGAAGATAAACAGAATCCCTCAAAAGGAGTTTTGAATAAATCAAGATGTACTATCTGTGGTAAACTAACTGAGGTCTGGTTGACTGATTTTTCTCTTATCTTTCTCAACAATGACAATATTAATAGCTTATATTCTAAAATAAGATAATTCAAAATAAGAAACTTTAAAATCTGATGCAATATTTTCATATACAGCAAGATATTAACATATGCAGGATTAATATTCATGAAGAACACGTGAAAGAAGAAAGAATTCAGACTATTATTTGATTTTTCTTTCAAACACTTGAAGTGCCTTTTGCTGATATCTTGTTGCTACTGTCAACAATTTTACTAGATATAGAATCTTGTAATTATGACCCAGATCTCCCACACAGAAGGATCACTTTGTAAAAAGTCAAGATTTACTCTATGTTTTGAAAGATAATGCAACTATTTTTAGAGATAGTAGTATATACATAATGAGAAATTCTCATTAATGTATTAATTAACTCTCAATGACATTACTGGGCCTACCATAGTTCAGGCTACTGCTTTTACACAGCATATGTGTCTGACTGGTCTTTATATGCCATGTTGGGTAGCCTGCAAATTGAGTGTTTTATAGCGTAAATTGACCTTTTGCTCTAATACGCAATCGTTACATCCTTCCCTGTGATCTTTGCAGGCTACAAGAGCAGATGGGTCCAGTATTTTTCCTAGAACTTTGGGGACAACAGAAATACCAATTTGTGTTTCCATATTTCATGATCATCTCAAGCATCTCTGTTCTTAAAATAGTGAGCTAGTGTAATCTGATTTTAGTTACTGTACTTGCATGTAAGACTTTAACTTGTCTCGTAGTTTCAGGCAACATTGAGCTTGTGTGGTGATAGAATACTCTTCATTTTTATTTTTTAGATTCGTCATGAAGTTAGCTTTAAAAATATGACTCATAAGCTGTGCAGTGACCATTGCTTCAATAGATACAGGATGGCAAATGGTTTAATAATGAATTGCTGTGAGCATTGTGGGGAGTATTTGCCCAGTAAAGGAGCTGGAAATAATATTCTTACTATTGATGGTCAGCAGAAACGCTTCTGCTGTCAGAACTGCGTTGGTGAATACAAGCAGGTAATAATACTTCTTCACTTATAAATAAATAAACCCTAATATACCTTAGATTTATCTTGTTATTCATAACAAGGTTTTGCTTCTCATTAGAAGTCTCAGATAACAAGGACTTCTAAAAATGGAATTAAGGTCAGTGAGAGCAAACTTCCTGAAATGGACCTTTTACTACTGGCCTTTTTGGATATTGCTCCAATAGCTATACCTGTTTATTATTAGTGAATATAGAACTGAGATTAAACTTTCTGTTAATAATTTCTGTTTCTAATGGATGAATCACAAGTATGTTAATAGCAAGCCCAACACGCAGGTTTACTGGTCCTTAAGCGATGTTCATTTTTAGATGGAAAAGCTTGCTTGTATGCAGTCGAAATGTCGAAAAATGTGGAGAGCGCACAGATTGGACTTTGCTGTGAGAACGCTCTTAACTGATTACATGTTGGCTGTGTACCTGTACTATGTCTAATCTCCTTCACTGTACAACATAAGAATTCAAAATTAACTGTTACTTTCATCCTTCCATGTGTTAAATTTTGTGCTTTCATTTTCTTTCCCTGGTTCGTTGTTAGTTTTTTTCGTAAAACTGTTAAGATAGTAATAATTGTGGTTTAAAATAATTGCAAATCAATAAATCTGATGCTGATGTCTTGTGTGTATTACAGAGCCAGCTTATCTCTGAACCATTGCTAATGCTGGCTGGAAGGTTTAGATGTTAATCACAGTATTTATGGTATAATAGGATAGCTATGAAATACTAAATGTTTTGGGGGAGGGTATGCAATTGGGGGATTTTTTTCTTTCTTTTTTTGCCTACTCTGAGTTGTAGGGATAGTGTTATGAAATATGAAAGTATTTTTTTACTAGCAAGAAATTTCTTTACCTGATTTTGAAGTTCACACTTGAATGTGTGAGTGGCCCCGGTGCTGCACATTGCTTTGGGTTCTTTCTTCATCTCTTTCCATTTTTAAGACACCAATGGTCCAAGAGAAAGAGGAGTACAGTGCCGACTGGTTTGAAATTCATTAATGTTCCATCATGTATGTTTGTACTTTCTCTTTGGACCCTCAGTTTTGATGCTTTTGGGGATGACTGTTCTTGTGCATATGCAGTGTGCAATTGCCAAGTCTGGGAACATACATATGAAAACAGCGTAACCGAAAAGGTAACATAAGCGTTATTTTTTTGTCACAGCTGTACGAAAAGGGACAGGATAGGTTTCCAAGATTCTAAAAACATAGGCATGCCCAGAAGCCATGGAAAGACTTGAAGAAACGTTGAATACTGTCTCTCGAAGAAACAGAAAGGCATGAGATTAACTTTGAACTTGAGACATTCCCACAGAACCAGTGTAACATGCACTGCACATGGAATTATGAAATGAACCTGGAATTTTGAAAGGTCAAATGATAAATCTGTACTTAACTCGTGTTACAGAATGTATTCTGTTTGTTCAGATGCTTTTGTATTTTGTCCTTAGATATGTATTTGAGAATGAGAAGGAAGTGGGTAGCAAGTTGTATGTTCTGGTTTGGTCTGGGGAGGAGGAGCAGTTTGCAGTACCAGGAATTTTCACAGGTATTGTCAAGTGTTGTGCATTATGGTGAGGATCCTGAAGAGAACCTTCAAAATTGAGACAAATTTGTTTTGGTGCATTCAGTTCTGACAGAAGACTTTATTCAAGCAAGTTTGTAATTTTTTTTGGAAATACTTGGTAAGGGGGAAACTGTAATAGGCTGTGAGAAGCTTAATTCGAGTGCTCGTGTACATCTGGTTTGGAGTGGTGATAAAGGCAATTCTTAATTGGTAGGTTTCAAATGTTCCTGGAGTGTGGGAGTTTTGGGGTATTTTTGATATTAAGAGAAACTCAAACTGTAAAATTAGGAATTTTATAGTGTATGTTGTTGGTGTCAGATTTGCTCAGGACACAATTATTGGAGAATGTTAGTTGCCTAGCAGGATTATTTAGGTTTGGACACTTTTAAGGTTTTTTGAACTGATTGCTTTCAAGGAATTCTGTTTTTAAAAAAGGGATTTAGACTTTGGAAAATGTCACTGACAACTTATTGGGCCACAACTGGTAAATTGTAGGTTGGTTGTTCAATCATAAAAACATTTTCCTGGAAATTTTATGTTAGATCTTGCTTTTAAAGGAGAATCCGTGAAGGAGAGAATGTGGGAGAGTCGCTATTACATACTGAAATAAACTTAATGGAATCAATAATACAGGACAAGTTGATGTATCATTTTTTTACAGCATTGTGTTGTACAACTGATTATTATGTGTCACGTAGCAGTTTGTTTTCTTACAAGCAGTTGTAAAATACATAGGTTTTACTGGTTTGAGTTTTGTATTAAGCAGTTTATATTGTGATTGTTATACACCTATACATTTGTAGTAGTAATAAATGAAAACTGATTCTTATTACTTGTACCCATCTATATACTTAATCCCTATTTTTTAAATAAATATTACACTGATTTGAACAATTAATTTTCGATAACTTATCATGGACATTTTTTCTTCTTGGAATGAAAGAACGTTAAAATTGTGGGTAATAAAAATTGACTGTGGCTCTTGGAGTGGCCACTGAGTGCAAAGAATCCGTCAGGTACAAAGGGTTTCTTTTCTCTGCTTTGGACTGTTGGTGGGAGTAAAAAACTTATTCCTGGGATGGGGAGTAGGTTTTTTCCAAAGTGTCTTAAGTCACCATTCAAGGTGATGGATGCACTGAGCTTTCTACGTACCAGTTTCAAACCTGATTTAAAAATGACACAAGAATAATCTTGAATATTGCATTTAGTGTTTTGCTTTTCTCAGAGGTGATGGCGATTCTTTCTTACCTAAAACTGAAATGATTGCAGAGTTTAGATTTCTTTCTTCTTAAAAAAAGCTATGGAAATAAATAGATTAATACATTGTTCAATAATTTAAAAAAAATAAATAGGCATAGCCTAATCTAACTAGTGCTCACTGTGGTTACATGCAAGAGCATGTTAATTTCTTGATGGCGCAACAGCCATTCGTGAAGACAGCTAAGAGCAAGTCAAGCTTTTTTGAAATAGAGAAAATGATAAAATCCTTCCTTCAAAAATTAAATCACTGCGACAGTTTAGATAAAATGTCAAAACAAAACCCTTATTAGAAGTATTTAACTTTTTAGACCTGAAGACTACTACTGGTAGTACCTGTGGTACTGAGGCTCAAAGTTAATATGTAGAGGGGAAAGAGGGACTTAAAGATGCTAAACAAAACAAAAACCAGTGGTAAAAGAGAATGAGATCGTGTCTTGCTAAATTGTCTATAATTGTGCAAATGCTAAAATATTTTATTTCTTAGAGTAGTTATTTCATATAATTAAAATTAAAAGTTAACTATTTTAAAAATTGCGTTAGTGATTTTGTTAAAAATTTAGTATCTATGTAACAAATTGAAACAGACCCCAAATATGCCTGCCATGAAGCCATATGAACCAAAAGCAAATGCATATGTTGTTTCAGTGTTTCAGATAACGTTGTGTATTTTCTGTCTCTACAAAACTAGTCGACTTCTTTTTCAAGGCAGTGGCAATGTTTTTTGTGTCCTGGTCTGCTGGATTTGGGTACAGGCTTAACAAATGTGTTCCAGGCAGCATGGGAATTCTGTGACTTGGTTTGTGCAACCCAACATACCTTTTAATTTTCGCCTCTTCAGCTTAGATGACGATGAGTTTGTCTTCTTATAAAAATATGGCCTTTAACTGCTTTGTTTACTGGCCTGATCAGTCCACAGATTAATTCTACCCTGAAAGCCTGTTATGCTTTACTAGTTTAAAATATTCCCTTTTTTTTTTGCTTTGTTTCCATAACTAAAATTATTCTTATTAGAATACGGCCTGGAATTTGCTTTCTTTGGGCACTTCTTAAAAGTGGCGGTCTTCATGTGCTGTCAAAAGAGGGAGGAAGGAGCTCTACCTATTTCATCACAGGCTTCTTAATAGCTCCGGAATGAAGTGAGGGCTAGGTGAATGCAAGCCAAATGAGTGTTTTTCCTAGCTGGAGAGGATGCTTACAGTGTCTTTTCACCAAGTGAAAATTTTCCTTGAGTAACTGAATAAAAGTGCCTTTGACTGATTTCTGTGATTAGCTGAAGACTTGCCACTGAACGTGTTTCAAGCCTAACCAAGCTATGCCGTCCCTTTAAGCCATTCACTTACAAGCAACAGAAAAAAAACAACTTAGACCACCGTTGTGCTTCCTCAAGTTCTGCTCCTTGCCAAGCAGCTGCTTCTGTCATCGGCTCTTACAACTCATTTCAGCTGCCTTATCTGTGCCCAGGCTTTTAGGAGCCTTCACAGTACACAATCGTATGCATGTCAGTTCTGTAGACTTTGTATCGCAAAATAAATCATTTCTTATTGGTAGAAATCTTGCTGAATGCTGTGATAGAATGCCTTGTCATGTAGTAGTTCTGTGGTATAGCTACTAGGATTTTCAACTTTTATCTTGTCCCATGCAGTGTTCTTTTTTTCTGTGCTTCTGTACTATTAAGACAGATCTGTCCTTTTTATTTTGATAGTACAATTAGCTATAAAGTCTTCTGCTTCCTGTTTGGTGTTACTGCTTTGTAAACTCTGACTTCTAAAGGTCTATTTTGGAGCAAAACTTGTTGACAAGACCAGTAATTGTGAGAGTTGAACAGCCCCTTTACATAAAATATAAAAAAGTAAGCATTTTTTATATACAAATATATATACATTTTAATATATGTATATATATTTATTTGTATGCTTATGTATTTATACATTTATGATATGTATATAAAAATAAAAATTTATGGTCTCTTCTAAAGAGAAATTCTGTGGTTTCAGCTGGTTTAAACTGTGGTTTAATGGTCACTTCTAAAGAGAAATTCTGTGGTTTCAGCCAGTTCAAACTGTGGTTCAATAGTGGAGTCTCTTCCTCATAGGGTGAACCACTTATGTCTCAATCACGTGATGCTTAGTTTGATACTAATTAGTTTTTGGTAGTTCTAGTGTCTCATACTACGTACAGTTCTAGTGTAGATAGCTAGATGTGTTTTACTCCATCTGCCATGGTTAAA